AGGGCAATATCGATCGCATATGCCGCAGCGCGATGGATAGTCATTTAACATGGCGACGCAACTGCAGTACTCGACGGCATCAATGGTATCGGGCTTATAGTTATACAGCGCCATCCTGAATTCGAGAGGTATACAGTAAAGCCAGAAGGTCTCAAGCAACATTCATACAACAACAATATGATAAAATCCGTCTTTCTTGGTTGTCAGAGTGCGGGGTGGAGAGACATCTATTTGTACCTACCATGCAATGCTGCCTTATTGCCTAGGCTCTTCAATTTGAGCCACCTGCGTCATGGCAAATAAGAGGCTGGCAACGTTTATCTCAAGGTCGCGAAGGTAGCAAAAGGGTCATACCTTCTACCACTCCTGTTAACCTAGCACGACCTTTGTGAAATACATATTTATCTTACCTGCTAGCTAACGCAACCATGGACTATTCTGCAGATAATAGAAAAGCCGTATATATGAACATATATTGCATACCCTTCCATTTTCCCCGCCGCTTTTGTTCTCTTGGGCAACCTCGAGCCGTTGTTATTGGAAGTCTTGGTATGTCGTTCAAAGTCGACAAATCGTTCACAACAAATGTATGAGGAGCCTCTCTGCTTTCATGTTGCTAACCAATTCGTTGAGGCTTCAATATAATTCTTAAAAATTAGTAGACACCATAGTCAATCCTCTCTCTCTACTTCTCTCTGGAGCACTGTTGTCTGCTTGGCGTTGGATTTAAATAGTAAAAGAACTACCTAATATTCCTTAAGCCCTAACTCAACCTAGGAAGAATTCTCCTGTCTCTAATAATGCTTTTCTGCCTCTTTGAGCACTCTCTTAACTTCCCATTCAGCCGATTTCTGAAACTCATTTGTGCTTTTTTCACTGCCCTTTCGGACTTCCGCTTCTCGCTCATCTAGCTTCCTTCGCTCCTCAGCAATCCAGTGCAATTTCTTCTCCTCTTGGCTCCGTGTCACCTCTTCGTCTTGGCTCAAGCTCTTCATTATTTTTCCAATATCGAGTTGAACCTGTAAAATGATTTCCCCATACTCTTTAACATTCAAGATCTTGGTGAGCTCGATAGCATCGTCAAAAAACTTCTTCATCATAGGCCAGTCGATAGGCCTACGTTCAACGGCTATGGCTTGGACCTCAGCTATTGATTGCAGAAGACATCTGCTCGGTTGCATATCCAAAGTGCCCTCCAATTTCTTCACCCAAGTAGTAAGTGATACTGCTTCTACACAGTCCCAATTATTCTTGCGTAGTAGTTCTGGCCAGTTTTTCTGTCCATAAGCAAAACACGCCTGTTCGAGGATCTGCTGTAGATATGCCGCTAACTTATACGGGCTGCTGAAAGGTAGTTTTGCTATTTCGTGATCCTTTTGAATACAGTCATCGGGCTTCGGCTCTTTGTGTTCTTCCTCTGGTGCGTCTAGTTAGTGAGTATACTGCAATTGATGCGCATCTGAGTAGTATACCATCCATAGGTTTAGCGTCTTCTATCGGCTCTGCTTCTACTGCCGCAGTTTCCTCTTCTGGCCAAGGTTTATCTTCCTTCGGCGTTTCATCTGCTGGTGGCTTTGCTAGTGCCACATAATCCCACGTATAGCCCCAGTCTGCTTTCTCCGGTATGGCTTCTACAGCTGCATCTTCATCGCCCTTAGCAGCTTGGGCCTGCGCTGCATTTTGGGCTCTTTGTGTAAGGAGAGTCAATCGAACCATATCCCTTTTAAGCAGCTTGCCCCTTTTGGCTTTCTTAACAGTCAAGGCGGCTAGCTCCTCTTCTTCTTCGGCTGTATTGGTAGTTGGAATAGTAGCTGCTTCGTTTTCGCCGAGCTTCTCGCTCATGGGTCCTTCTTTAGCCTCAGGAGCTGGTATATCGCAAGTCGCGTAAGGCTCCAAATCCTTTGCTGATAGACCGTATTCTGTCGTAATCTCAGGCTCACAGGTCATGCCATCATTGTATGAAGCCTTTTCCACAAACGCTTCTGGTTGCCAAGCGTCCTGCTCTGCCGGAGGCGGCGGAGGTACAGGCAGTGTATGAATCCTCCCACCTTTCTTCATCTTCTTCTTCTTACTAATTTGGATCTGTCCAAAGCCCCAATCATCAGGTAGAGGCGTCTCGCTTGAAGTAGCCATAATATGGAATTGTTAGAGTAGGGTATTCTCCAGGCGAGTATCAATGCGAATGGTTTACCTACTGAATCTGAGAAATATGATAAATGCAACAGATAATAGCCTTTATACCAGTCTTCTTAATGCGGGGTTTTGAGTCATCCTGCATGAATGCCTGGGCGCCTAACTCCTGAATCAGGCTCTGCAGGCCAACACAGCCTGTGCGTCCCTCCAATCAACTCCATCTCCTTAGCATCAAACCAATAGCGCACCTGCGATCATCATTGACTCGTCCGCCAAGTCAGCTCATGCTAATATACCAACCTGCGGAGTATTGTGCAACGCAACTGCCGTAGCCCCATTTACCATATGCAGTACTCCAGAGCTGAGTGTAAAACCGTGTACTCCTCTTTACGGTGCAGGCAGATCTTTTGTAAACCAGAAAACGCTGTCATTCGCAAGTCTAAAGCGATTAAAGCGGTCGTTCAACGTCATCGACTGACGATTTCCTACTTCTCCGAAGACGACCTCATTCAGATCCTGCGACACCTACTCAAAAAAGGCATATTTGAATCGAGAGACACAGCCCGGTCTGTCTACCCAGAGCTCTTTCCATCGCCTGCAGTGCAGAAACACACTGAGCAGGTACCTGAGCCAGTTTCTGTGCCTGACCGAAACCTCTCTATTATGGAAGAGCAGAAAGCATGGAGACGCAAGTAAGTTCTTAGGGCTGGCAATTTTAATAAAGATATACTTCTAACTATTTCTTTAGGATCTTCGATACTGGCGAGTATTCAGATATCGAGCTTGTGTCAATTGACAAACTATATGAAGCACACCGTGTGATCGTGTGCTCCTGGTCGCCAGTTATAAAAAAGTCTTGTGAATTCAACGCCGGCAAGGCTTTATTCAACTTTGGAGATGCTGATCCCCAGGCAGTAGATTGCATGGTGCAGTTCTTCTATCTATGGGACTATAATCCCAGGTCTCTTATGTCTAAACATACAGTCGGCCACGATGGGCCACAGGAGGACAAAACTGACATTTCACCGGACGCAGATGATGAAACCAACCCTGATGATGCGCTATTGATCCTTCACTCTAAGGTATTTACGCTTGCCCATATATACGACATACCCCGCCTCAGAGACTTGTCTATAGAGAAATTCCGGGCAGTAGCTCGGTTGCAATGGAGATCTAATTGTCTGTTGGATGCGGCACGGGAAGCTTATACTGCTACCCCATCTACCGTCTTGGACATGCGTGGAGCTATCGTGAAGACGTTCTATGAGCACAGGGAGTTGCTGGGTGAGGACCACGTCAAGGATTTTCTGCGGGAAGTGCATGAACTTACTTTCGATATCTTGATGTACATGGAAACGCCTCCGTCCCCTCCTAACCCTAGGTCATTCCATGGATTGGGCAGAAGCTTTCGGTAGAATAGGAATAAGCGGAGAGCGGGGGTTTCGGTGTTTATTCAAGCAGAACACCATGCTCAGATTCGGATATTTATACGTTATGGCATAATTGCGTCTAAAGTTTGATACTATCCCAGGTCTTCGTATTGATGGCTTATAAGAATATAATAAAATAAAAAACACTATTTTTCTTTTACATGCTGAAGAAACATAGCCAGAATTTGCACCCATTAATTTGGGTTACTACTTAACTACAATCTTGAACTTCTGCAACTACTTCTGCTGCACAAATCGCTTCCAGAACTCTAGACCCTGTTACCTCCTGACACTTTTTCATCCAGGGCAGGATTGCTGCCTCTACTCTTTCCCTGCGCTGCTGGAGCTTCTTCGATTCGGCAGCTATCTCAGCCAACTCTTTCTCCACCCTGACCTGCTTAAGCATAGTAGTCAAATGAAGTTCTCCTAAATATTTCTCGACGTCACCCCGGAGCTTCTCAATGACATGGAGGTAATCTCCGGCCTCGAGAACCTTCAATATGTCCTCCGCGTCCTTTAAGAACACCCTGGTCCTCCATGGATCAACAACTACACGTTTGACAGCCACGTCTCTGATCTCTACTCCTGACAAGAAAAGCGCTTCAAGCTCTTCTGTGCTCTTGTTTGTGTCAAAGCCGTCATGTCCAATCAGTATGTTCATCCACTGATCCAGTTCTACTGCCTCAGGGTGATCCCATTCTTGGTCTTCTAGGGTTTTCTGCATTTCTCGTTGAGCAAACTCATAGCATGCGTGCTCCATTACTTGTTGTAACTTCACCATCAATCGGTGCTGCACTTTAGCTTCTAGAGGCACCGGATAGGAAGGGTCTTTGTGCCAGGCTTTCAGCTTTGTAAACCCATGCCCCCCTAAATACAAATAGATACAATTAATTCAAGTTTAGCATAGATGGCTATGATGTAATGCTCACCTTTCTCTTGATCGCTCACCTCCTCTGCAGGCTCATCTGAATGTTCTTGGCCCGCCTCAACGCGGCACAGCCCTCCCGATATATCCTCTGAGCCTGATGCCCCAGTATTCTGTTTCGAAACATCATCTTCTATAGGAAGAGGAAGCTCGCGGAACAGTTCCGGGAAACGACGGCGTCTTTCCCCAATCGGGAGCTCAAACACCTTTTTTTGTATCAATATTCTTGCCACAACACACATAGCGCTTGCGCCGTATTCATTGACGACTTCTTTGATGCCCAACAGGTGTTTCTTACTGCTGATAAACCGCTCGATCCCTTCGCCAGCCAAAAGTTCAGCACCAGCTTTCTTGAATTTCTTCCTATAACGGCTGAGTGCACTATAAACCACCATCTCGCTCGGTAAAGCAGCCGTATTGGCTATGGCATGTTCTGCTGGTGTCATATTTACTGGATCAAATGGCAGCATGCATTCTCCGCAAAGCATCGACTCGCTAGAGTTGCATTCGCCTTCCCTGGTACATTCTTCGGGAGAGCACTGGCAGTACTTTTGCCTATCGTCTGGTAGTCTCATGCTCACAGTGGGGAATACTCAGTAGATGACGTTTTGTTCGATGTAAAAGGTCAATGGGGATATGGCTAAAAGAAAAAGAGGAAAGAAAAAGAGGAGAAAAAAGCCAAAGAAGGGATTTTGGCGGCACGAAGTGACCTCATATGGTTATTCCGCAGCCAATAGGCCGAAAGACACCCGCAGTACGGAATAACTCGTACATTCCGAGACATTCGATCATGCGTCATTAGGATAGAGGTGTCAATTGGGAGAGCTGCGCTTCTTTATTGTCCAACTACTGATTTGCACGGAGCAGAATCCAAACATGGTCAAGTCGCGCCAGCTGCATTTCGTACATAAGTAGCACGGTTCCAGTAACCCTAATTTATCGTCTTTTTTCCTCTCACAACACAGCATTTGCCTCACTAACTGCCATCTCATATCCTGTGACTAACCCCCCATCAACCTATTCACCTGTGATCTACGAGTCCAATGTCTGGCAAAGCCTCACTGACCTGTGCCATCACTGCAAGTATGTCATGCTCCAGAGAATCTTGGATATTGCTCAGGTTGGGTATCAAGGTCAGAGGGCAAAAATACATATCACACCGGAGTGAGGCTATCTAACAAGCCGAAGTGATTAAGATGAATCAGTTTAGTATGGTCCTAATGAAATGCTTGATTTACTCTATACATCGTCTCTTTAACTCCATATTGTATTACTGAACCCGAATCAACTTGTTTAACGGTTATCCGCCAGTCCAATTCCTGGTAAGGTGTCTTTAGCTTGTCCCATGGCTGCAAATATGTCACGCTCGATGGAAACTTGGATGTTGTCCAGGTTCTCGTCCCGATGACGTTTGACGCCCTCCTCCTCCCGGTTTAACCTTTCTCTCTGAGCCTCAATTTCTGCAACCTTCCCACCAGCTTCGTTATGAATTAAGGCAGCATCTCGATTCGCCTTAAGAAGTACTTCTTCAGTACGCTGTCTAAGCGACTCGACAGCGCCTAGATACAATGGAGTATCGAGAAGCCGTATAAACTCTTCGGCATTCAGTAAAAATTGGTTAACTTCTTCGAAGTTAAGGTTGAGCCGAAGAAGGATGATATTTTGAATCCTGCCTACTGAGCTGAACAGGCTCGGGAGTGACTCAGCATTACCTTCGGTCTTGAATGTTTTATTGTTCTGGAAGAACTCTATCCAAGTCTGTAGCGAAATCGCCTCGGCGCAGCTATGGTCCCATTCGTCCAGTGTTTGTTGCATTTCTCGTTGTCCAAACGAGAAACATGCGTGCTCTAGTATTAACTGTAGCTGCAACATGAGTCTCTGTCGTGGCTTGGGGAGAAGGCGACAATCCCGGAGAGTCTGGCCAGGTCGGCTGTTTGGCAATACGCCTGCTGTAAGGAAGGAAGTGCATCAGCATATCGCTGGCTCACCTAAGTTGGGAAAAGAGTGATTACCTCCAAAGCCATCAGCTGTCTCGTTTGGGTGGTTGCATTCACCATCGAGCGGCTCGATTTTCTTCGTAGACGAGTCTCCAGCTGCTGTCTCTTGCCCTTGTTCACAGTTCAATATTTGCTCTTTTGGAAAGAGGGTCGGAAATCGACGACTTGCTGATTCAGTGGATGTGAAGACATTATCGTCCAGCAAAACCCTGATAGCGGCCACTACACTTAAAATGCCGTACTTGCGAATCAGGTCTTTGACTCCCTGGTGGCTTTTCTCTCGCTTTCTCACAGCCTTTCTGATCGACTGATCATTCGGATGTTTATCTGCGATTTTGGACAATGCGGACGAGCCTTTGAAAGCGACATAGACGTCCTTTTCACTGATCAGGTCTGGCTGTTCGGCATTGTCGGGCTCCGGGAGCGTTGACTCCTCAAGATGGCAATCAGGACAGATTACTGTTGCACCAAGCTCAGCTTCGATCTTATCGTCACCCTTTGCCTTCGCGCATCGACACATATCTGCAGCTGTTGCATCAGACGTCATTATCGTTATATATTGGTGGGTTTGCAGTAGACGGAGGTATGGCTTGAAGAGCGGTGAAGAGGGCTAATGAGGGAGGGTTAGACTTGGCTGCTAACTGTAGATGATGACAACATCATATGTCTCATGCTGTAGCCAATTGAATTGGCTGGGCTGAGGCCATGTCCGGTTGGGCGGGTAGGGATAAACAATTTTCAGATGCCATGCAAATCGGAGTAATACAAGCTTCCGAGACATGATTTCACGTATGTAATATGCGTTATGACCAGCTTTCTCTCGGCTCTTTAAGAAGTTCCGCGCATCTATCGTAAATAGTTAAATGTAGTCGGGTGCTTAGGTCTCATCTTGATTCTTAACACTGGCGATCCATAACTTCCTCGCCCTATGTGGCCTTCTTCTCCCACCAGCAGAAAAATCTTCTTGAAAAGACATTCCAAACCAGCCTTGATTACAGCTTTACGGAAGACTTCTCCGACTCTTACCTCGCGTCCGTGGTACATCCTCCGTCACACCATAACTAGCCACAACACACGACTGTTTCCCTAGTCACGATTGTTGTACATGCTCCGCATCACATTTATAGCTATAGTGAGGGAAATACTAAGGAAACCATGCTTCGTCGCAATCTTCGAACTGGTCTGCATAATCGAGGTCGCTGTCATCAGCATAAAAAACGTTCGCCTCCATACCATTACTACCATCCAAGACCGCGCCCTCCTTGTCCGTTGCTATTTTCGAGCATCCCATAAGCTCGAGAGCATTTTGTAGCCTGTCACCCGCCAACATTCGGTACTTTTCGTCCTCTTTTGCGATGCAGCGTAGAACTTCCTGCTCCTCCTGGTCGAGTTTAGCGCGCTTCTTGGCTATTTCTTCCTGAGCGCGTTCGAGTTGCCGTTGTATAAAATGTTTATTTTGTGTAAGCTCCACAAGCGCTGACTGAGCATCTGAACGTAGCTGCGAGATGGCTTTTGCATGTACGGTATCCCCTAGAATTCCGGCAAGCCGTTCGGCATCAGCGAGAAACCGTTCTAGCCCTGCTGAGTTACTACGTAGGCGATGAACAGCTGTATGTCTGATGGATGCAATCGAACGCAGTAGTTCTTTCGGGAGATCTTTGTCGATCTTGCCTCTCATACTCCCCTCACGTCCGAAGAGCTCGGTCCATCTATTGAGTTCGACTGATTCAGGACATTCCCAACCGCGTTTTCGCATAATATTCGGGAGAACTCTCGTTCCAAAGTCAAAACAAGCAAGTTCTAATGTCTTTTGGAGTTTCCCCATAAGCATGTGCTCGATAGGGAACGGCAGATATACCGGAAACAAGGATAGGCTACCAGCTTCGCTTTCTGTGATGCTGTTACTAGCGTCTGGACATAAATTCCGTCATTATAGTCCATCTATGGAAAGATCGCTATTACATACCATGTAATGCCGCTGTGACTTCTGCCCACTCCAGGGCCCCTTGACTATCAGCCCACTGGGTTTGTATGATGTCCTCGAGCGCAGCCTGTTCGCTCTTGGCAGCTTCTGCTTCTAGGATGTTCCTGGCTGCGGTCTGGGCTGTAGAAGGTTCGAACAGGTCTGGGAAGCGCTCACTTGCAATCGAGATTGATTCGTAAACCCTATCCGAAAGGAGCTTCAATACTGGCTGATGTATGGCGTCGGCGCCATGTTGAGTCACAAGTTGCCGGATGAGACTGCCCTTCTGTAGATGACTCCCAATAGATTTTTTGACAGGCCCAAGCTTTCTGAACCTGGCCTTCTGACCAATAAATATGTCCTTTGTCGCCTGATAAATTATCTGATCATCCAATGCCGCTGTTACGACCGGTTCCATATTGGATGGTTTGGAAACTGAGAAATAAATGTCTGAAGTATTACGCAGCACTCAAGGGTCGCAGCTGAACGATAACAAAATTAAGTTCCTTCCCCGCCTGTTACAAGGGGAACTTCATGTGCAACCCAGTCTGCATGGATGCCTGAGCGCTTAAATTTTAGTCAGGCTTCGCAGATTCTCATTCATAATCCTAGGATCAGCTCCATAGGAAGGGTTATCACGCAATTCAATTAAGAGCTCCATGAGGTCTCCAAAACGCTGTCCCTCTTTCACTGACAGAGGAGCTAGCTGGAGTACGAGCCAATAAGATACGTAGAATTTCCTCTTTCTGTGAAACTGGGACGGACCATAAGGATGTAGGGTAAATAAAATCAATTGTTCAACAATTGATTTTGTACTGTAGGACTAGGGTATCCAGGCGACGTTTTTGATCCATGCTAATTCAGCAGCAGACAGCCCCAGATGCGTCGTTCTGAACCTAAGTAGTTAGTGAATAGCTATTTTTTCAACCTACCAAATACGAAATAAAATGTCTCTGGCTAACAAGACTACTGTGTCGGGATTTAGCAGCAATCAATCATGAAGCTCGTCCAACAAACCAAAACCACTAGCCTGGCTCTTGATTGCTTGATCTTGCTATAACCTATAATCCAGGCGGCTTCGTCATTCATCTATCTTCAACTAACAGAGCACACCCAGGGGCTGAGTGAACTCGTCATTATTAGTGCCTCGCGCCGCCTCCTTCGCCAACTCATCCGCCTCAATATTCCACTCCCGCGGAATTTTCCAAAACTGTATTCTCATACCATGCACATTCCACCTTTCCAACTCCCCGAGCAAAGCCTCCCACAAGTCTCTGTTCTTGACCCGATCACCGGAGCTCGTCTTCCAGCCTTTACGAAGCCAGCCTGAAACCCATGCTGTCGCACCCTTGACAACATATTCTGAGTCAGTGGCAAAGACAAGTCTCGTGAAACCTTCACCGTTCCAATTGCGAAAACGAAGTGCGCCGATAATGGCTCGTAGCTCAGCCCGATTACTGGTCTGGCTCTGTTCGTCCCCAAAGGGGCCCTTGTTCTCGAGACGACCAGCTACGTATGTCGTGGCGTTGGATTGTCGGGGCCGGAAAACAAAGGCCCATCCTGCTCTAGGATTTTCTTGTCCGTTATTCAGACAGGCGCCATCAGTGTAAATAAGAAACGTTCTTGGATCATCATGATGGATGAAACGAGTCACTTCGGGGATCGCTCTCAGGCTTGTTCCAGCGGGAAACAAGGTGTGAGTTGTGGCCGAAGAAGGCGGCATAAAGACTGTAGGAAGAACTTTTCCTGTACCCTTTCTGGGCGAAAAGTCCAGTTCATTGAAAGCGTTGTTTTGTGATAGTTTCAAGCGTGAACTAACGTTGGCTGGCTGATAAGGCTCGTCATCTGAGTTCTCGGATCCGTTATCCATGAAACTGTAGTCGACACAACAACGCCCGCAAATGACTAGACCATGAGAGCTGCAAACCAAACGGCCATCATCGAGCTCGATATGTTCCATCTTATCAGATTTACGTGTAGACTGTCGAGAGCCGAACACCTGAAAGTTGGTAGATGGGGCAGAAAAGGTGGAGAATTAGTGCCTCAAGTCAGGCTGTCACAAGTAAATATTCAATCATAAATTTCTCTACAGGACACACTGACGTCCGAAGACAGTATGAAAAATAGAATTGCTCGGGTATAAATGGATGCGAAAAGCGGGGTAGGGAATTGTCAGCGGGGGGCAATACGATGAGATATCCGCTTTCACGGAAAATCGGAGTATCAATGTAGTATCAATGTAGATGTCATGGATGACATGGTAGACTCAGGGGCTAACTCAAACCAGTGTCTTTCGAACCATAGAAACCACCCATCGTGTTCATATATTATTCAGCTGTCTTGAATACAACAACGTGGCAAGGGCTCTAATCTTGAGCTTTGTGAACGAGGTCCTCGCCACTTCCCGCTGTTCAGTTCGTCTTAGTCCCAAGAGAGATCAGGCAGTGTGCTCACTCAGCGGCTGCAGTCGCAGCAACGATCGTCACGACATTGAGCCAGCGTGATCCTTCCACCGGCCGCTAGACGATCTACACTGGGGCTGCTGATCTGGACTAAAAACCTAATGTTACAGGGCGCTCCAGAATCGACTGCTTATACCGCTTTTCCGCTCTCAACCTTCAGCGTCGAGGTTATGTCTTCTCAATTAACAGCTGGCCGCTTATGAACGGCCACGTACGCCTGCCCTTACCATCGAAGTTGTTACGTTCTCAAAGCCCCGCATCTCTTACTACCCCGCCCTGCTCGGCGCCCAATGAAGGAAGGGTTGGGAAGCCTTCAGGGCCTAGACTCCATAGGTTTCTTGCCAGCGTTGATTGAGAAAATGCAGTCACTTCCCCTTTCGTCCGTCCCAATGCGCCTGTCCAATAAGGGTTGAAAATGTGCAGCTATTTCATCCATGCTCAATGCGGCC